GAACATCATTAACAAAATGTTGAAACATTTATTCTAATTTTATTGCATGTAACTAAATGGAAAGGACACACATTTGTAAAAGTAATAGAAGTAATTGTTGATTTATGTTTTGGTATACTTCTGTTAATCGTGGTCAATCATTAAAATAAAAAGGTGATTTGAAGACGAGTATATATTCTTTCTGTTGACAAAACTCATATTTTAGGCGAACTGAACTATTTATGTGGAATATATATTATAATATTCAGATAACTTCCATTTCTTTACGTTGTATTTTTGCATTGTTGTAAAATTCGACACCTGAACATAAAAACGATAACTTTTAAATGGAGGCACATTTTTCTGCAAGGCTTTATATCAATCCAGGCTACCTCATGAACAGAACTGCTGGTAATTCAGCAGTCAATAAAGATATCCGTTGTAGTTTTGTTAAATAAGCAAATTCTCAAGGGTTGAATTCTACAACTTTCACCATTAGTGTTTCAAATCACTTTTGGTCGATGTTTTCAGTTTATGTAGCTAGATTAAACTTGTTAAGTTGTGAGAAATAAGAGAGTATTTTGATAAGATACACTGAACCCTTTTTTTTATATACTCGTATATACTTTATTGAATTGAATTTAGCTATACCGGGTGACACAGACTCGTAGTACAACTTCCGTTTTTCTTTATTTCTCAAGATATTTTTACGAAATTCAATGTTGAATAGGTTCACAAGGAGGCACTTTTTGACGTGTTGGGAGATTTTTTCCAACTTCCTGTTTTTCCAGAAATTACATCAAAGTTTTATTTTCAATCGAAACACCCCGTATACTATTACAACTTTTAAATATACATACTTTTCTAAATTCGATGATACCCCATAGTTGACATTTGAATCATGGATTGGGATACATGGTTCTGTCAGGTGGCCCGCAAAATTACCCGATTCAACCCCTTTAGACCTTAAACAGTGTCTCGTGGGTAATTGAGGAAGTTGCTATGAAACAACTTCTGGCGTTTCGATGAATTGTTAATGTTAGTTACTGAATACATTGTTGGAGATCGTATTGATAGCAGAAATGAGTTGAAAATGCCTCTTCGTGAGTACATTCATTGTTAATTGAATAAAACTGGCCTATACTTGATGAAAATCCATATTAAAACTCATCAATACAGTTTATTGTATGATTTTCACTATGAAGGGTTTTACAAAAACCGCGACACGTGTTTCGCTATACAATAGCTTTCTCGAGCGTTAATGTAAAACTCATTAATACAGTTTATTGTATGATTTCTACTCTAGCGTTAATAACGATTATTAACGCTTGAGAAACATATTGTATAGCGAAATACGGGTCGCGGTTTTTGTAAAACCCTCAATAGTGAAAATCATGTAACGAACTGTATTAATGACTTTTACATTCACTGTGATAGATTTCGAAAAAATAGCTACATAAATAAATAATTAAAGAGGGGTGTATCGTAAATCTAACCTTCGTTCTTCAAACTGCTTAAAGTTATTTATCACCCGACATTATCGTTCGGGATATCGTTCAAAATACAACTGGTAGTCAGTAAATGCAATTTGCCAACATTCCCTGTATGATTTAGCTGCATATAATTTTTTTTCTGTTATAAACTTGTGGCATTTTCAATTTATTTCAGTTATTAATGTGATCTCCAACTTACTAACAATAACAGTTAATCGAAACGCCAGAAGTTGTTTCATTGTTTCATAGCAACCTTTTCGATTACCCGCGTGAAACAAAAAATAGTCTGAAGGGGTCAAGTCGGGGGATTTTGCGGGCCACCTGACATAACCATGTGTTCCAGTCCATAATTCAAACATCTACTTTGGAGTGTCATCGGATTCAGAAAATTATGTAGATTTCAAAAATGTGATAATATAGAGAGTATTTCCTTTAAAAATTAAACTTTGATATCACTTCCGAGACACTGGAAGTTGGAAAAAATCTCCCGTTACGTCAAAAAGTGTATCTGTGTGAGCATATTTTGAATTTCGTAAAAGTAGCTTGAGAAGTAAATAAAAAATGGGGGTGTACTTTGAGCCTGTGTCACCCGGTATAATGGAACAAACATACCCTTGATTAGGCAACTAGAGTAGCAGTAAGGAGGACAGTGAAAAGAAGCAAGACTCGAAATTTTGTTGAATAGTCAACACAAATCAAATTTTTTGAATATACGCAAGCTGTTTTATTCTCCTCTTATTTACTCTACAAATCTTTCATTGTTTCAACTTTAGCATTCGCCCTTTCTCGTCAAAAATACTCCTTTATTTCAATACAGAGTTGAAACTGCTTTTATGTATGGGTTGGTTCTGCTCAAAGTCTGCACTGTGTGGAATATTTAAACATCAACTTCCAAAACTGATATTTGATTTAAAATTCATTCTCAAAGTTTCAATAAATTAACATATAGCGCAGACTTATTTGCCCTCTGAAAATGTCCCTGAAAATACGGGTAGATATACAAAAAAACCATCAAAATTCTTGTTTTTTTTTTATTTACTGATTTGAATTATGATTATAAAAATTTTATATTTTCAAGCAAATATCCTTTTGTATATTTACTATTTCATCAATGTGAAGAAAAAAAATAAGAATTCTGGGGGTTAATTCGCCATGTCCCTGAGACCCTTACTTGTGACGTCACATGAACTCTCACAAGTTTGCGACTCGGGTATTGGCGGTTAAACATTTCTTCCACTCTTCTCTCTTCTTCATTATCTATTATCCTCTTTCAGCTTCTCTCCTGTTCTAACAAGAGGATGTAAGAATTCGTCGGTAACTATATTTTGGGAAATTTCAATCACCAATTATGTTACTACTTCCTCCAGTAGTCATCCTGAAATATACTGGAACCACTGCTCCTAACACACACACACACACAAGGCTCTATTAGGAGATGAACTATACTATACATGTAGTCATATTATAAGTTCTTCCGAACTTTGGCAATTGGCAACGGCCATTTTGTTGAAGCTACGTTTGTTTTATAAGAAAAATGTTCATTATTAAAGTGAAAAGTGTCAAAGAAGGAGGATAAAGGTATAAAGGTGACCTAGTGAATAGATGCTTGTGTTTTTAAATAGTTTATTTTGTGAAAAAGAAGGCTGAAAAGTTGCCCTTTTCATAACTTTCAAGGGCCGTAACTTTGTAAATAAGGGAGAGCGCCGCTTTTTTCTTTCGGATTCATAATCTACGCATCAAAATGCATAGGTACACGCAAAAATTTTTTCAAAATCGCCGGGTGTCCTCAAAACGAAAATTTACCCCCAAAATTTCGAACATTAATATTTCGAGAACAAAACTGCGGAAACGCTTGACTCACATTAATTTCAAAATTGAAATAACAAAGTTTGATGAAAATTATAAGTGAATCATTTTTTGGAGAAATGACTGTTATATATGAAGAATTGGAACGTTCCAATTGAGAGAAAAATCAAAAACTATCAATGGAAATGTTCTGAAATTGAAATCCAATCAATTTGACACGATCCATCGCATCATTGGCTCATGAACTTGTAATCGAACGCTCTCATATTCCAATCATATCTCTCTCCGCGGAACTCCAAGGAAATTAGCTATTTGGAATCAATACAAACTGTTTCTAACTGACTATAACAACGCCCTGGGGAAAACTAAGAAAGACTCGTGAAGTCAATCCAACGAGGTCGAACAGTCATAAGTATTAGGTGAGCTGAAAAATTCGTAGACTAACACAAAGGTGGCGCTACTAGCATTAAATCCATATGATTTTTAATCAACCCTAACCTTCGAAAGACACTTGTACAAATTTCACAGCTGTCGGACTATTAGTTTGTGGGATAGAATATTTTGAGTGAAGCAACTTTTGTTACTGTGAAGAAAATATTAATATATTATTGCTTTTTAGAAAAAATAATACTGTTGAAGCCAAGGCTCGGGTTGATAAACATTATTCGAATTTTGCACCATGAAAATCAATCGTTGAGAAGTGGTTTGCTAAGTTTAAACGACGCCCCAACACGACAGTGGACACGCCCCAACGAGGCTGTTATCGATGAAAACATAAAAAAATACCCCAAGATAATTTTGGATGACCGCAAAGTGAAGGTGATCGAGATAGCTGAGGCTCTAAAAATATCAAAAGAACGTGTTGAACATATCGTTCATGAATGTTTGGGTATGCGAAAGCTCTCTTCAAAGTGGGTGCCGCGCGAGCTCACAATCGATCAAAAACAACAAAGAACTAATGATTTTGAGAAGTGTGTGAATGTGTTCCACTATAAAAATCCGAATTTATGCGTAGATATGTGACGATGGATGAAACATGAATCCATGAATCAAAACGATCGTCTGAACATCTGAATGGACTGCACATGATGAACCGACGCCAGAGCGTGCAAAGACCCAGTCAGCTGGTGAAGTTATGGTATCAGTATTTTAGGATGCGCATGGTATAACATTCATCGACTATTTTGAAACGACTATTTTGAAACGACTATTTTGAAACGACTATTACAAAGCGTTATTAGAGCGTGAGAAGGGCGATATCGCGGAGAAACTTGCCCATTTGAAAACAACATAGTGAAATTTCATCAAGACAATAAACCGCATCCACCATATTCTCCAGATATGGCCCCCAGTGACTTTTTCCTGTACTCAGACCTCAATAGAATGCTCGCTGGACTAGTTAATTAGTTTACAGAAAAATGAAATACGATTTCTATATAATTCAGTATTCGTAGAGCAAAGTTATTGAAGATTGGCTCTTTCTTCGGGTCGAAATAGAACTGTTGACTCATTTTTCCTAATCAGTTTCGTTGATAGTTTTTAATTTTAATTCCTTCCTTCGGAAGTTTCACATTGCTTCATACATTAACGGAGAAACAGAAAACGAAAAATAATGAATCACTACACTTCCTTTTTCATGAATTTCAGAAGTGTTCTAGTGAAATAATTTGAAAATATATCAAGGTCAAATATCTGGTAAATAAATATCTAATTTTGTTTTAGGAGCAGAGCTGATTGAATTAGAAAGGACTTGTAATTCAAAGAAGGATTCTTGCATCATATCAGTGCTGACAAAGGAGCAAACTTCAAATGGTACAATCAAACTTTAAACGGGAGTTGGTCAATGGAACCTTCGTAGAAAACAAGTTTGATGCTGAAAATGTTCCTGGGTTTCGTTCGAAATAATTAAATGGCATTTTGATTCCGTTGCAATTATCTAATAATGGCAAATTTTATGAGAGGGTCTGAATAGTAAATTGTTCAAATATGTGATGGAATGTGTACCTGAGTTTGAGAATAAATCAGTAAATATTAATATAAGAAAAAATCAAAATTGTACAATAACCGTTGTTGACAGCGAGTTGTTTGATGAAAGGTGGCTTGTGAAACCGACTCTAAGATGTCATCTATGTATCTGTACTAGTACCAGAAACTATTAATCAACTGATTATTATATATTTCATTCTCCAGATTATCCATGAAAATTTGAACCAACAGATATCGCAACGGATTTTCCCATTATTAGTCCTTTGTTGCATGAATACGCTATGCAGATCAGCGTGTCGCCCACTGTCATTCACTATACTCGTATACCCCAGATATTTGAGTTATGATAAAGAGAAGTTAGAAGTTAATCCAGCACTATTAAACCGCTTAAAGACTTCTCGTAAACTGTTAGTGCGCTTTTCGAAAGAATTGGTAGAAACGATGATAGCATCGAGATCGCACCTCAAAACTTGGTCAATCTGTGCCACGTTGCTGAGGCATTGTGGAGTCCAAAGGGTATTCTACAGAACTGGAACAGTCATCTACCTGATATTGTGAACGCAGTCACAGGTTTACTACATTTTCCCATAGGGATTTGCCAGTAAGCACTTTTTCTGTTTATAGATGATAGACACTTTTATTCCGCAACTTATCGAGCGTATTTGTAACCAATGGGTAAGCATCACAAATCGTCTTTTCATTTACCTTACGTTAATCAAAGCAAGAGCATTATGACCCATCCTTCTTCACCATAACAATAGATGACGCCCAGGGAGATAAGAAAGGCTTCACGATTCTCTACTGAAGCATCTTATTCTTCATTCACGTGTCTCTGCAGTGTAGGAGAAATAGTATATGCATTACCAATGAATAATTTACCAAATATATCAGCTTCTAACAATTATTCAATTTCAAAAGTAACGTTAGAATCGGTAATGAAAATATATTTGTCTTTTAAATTTTCAATTATATAATCAAACTATATTGATATCGTAAATATTAAGAATTTTTGGTTCTGATTGATGCTCCCCAAAAACACCTTATATGATATGTGCTTCAGAGATTTTATCTAAATTCAGTTCTTTTGCTAATGATGAAAGAATATAATATCTTCGAAATCTAAAATCAAGAAGTGCACTAACAACTTTTTCATTATTTTGGTTTCTGATTTTCAGAATATTACAATTCAATAGGTAAATCAGAAATCCAAAATCAAGAAGTGCACTAACAACTTTTTCTTTATTTTGGTTTCTGATTTTCAGAATATTACAATTTAATAGGTAAATCAGAACAAAGTAACGTATAATGTTTTCGTCTACGAACAAAACGCTGAATGTATATTTTACATTGTTCAATAGCAAGTCGCATCTTGAGATAGGTAAAACAACATTTTCTTTCAATAAACCGTTCATTCTTTTCTTATAATGAGAGATTCTGGGGTTTTCAAACAGTCCTGACTGTTATGAGAATTCTGACAGAAAATACAAATTGGAAATTTCACACTTTTGAATCTATCTTTGAAAACGGTAGTGTAGGCTGCAGCTCGGGTTATCATTTTTGGATGACCTTGTCTAAATTTATCCTTGATGTTCATCTTCATAAATGTATATCTAACACCTCGCAAGTTGAATAATAACAATAGGGTAGGCCACTTCATATTGAATAATTAACTGTTACATGGGACCGAGCAAAACAAATTTCGGAATATGTGAAGGAACGAACATGGAGTATGTTCTCGGACCACAATGGACAGTCATCCCGAGGACACAAACATCTGGTATACAGACAGGTCATAAATAAAAAATGTAACGAGAGCTGGAATTTACTGAACTGAGAAAAATGGCGGACATGAATAGTATTGGAAAAATATACCTGTTAATACACACTTCTTCAGAGAACTGAAGAAGTGCTTCAATTAAGAAAGGATCGACTCAAAACAGTTACTGGGCTACTCTTTGGGCAATGGTCCACTTAGAGAACGTCTCTAATGCAGATACTGTCATATTTTATTCGAATATGATGATGCACTGAATTACCGAAGGCGAATAATTCATAGACAACCCAAATTTTGTTCAGAAGAAAACGACAAACGTCTAGCAAGGGACTTTTAGAAACTGTATAGAAAACAAGACTGTTGGGGAGAGGGGAATGCAATGAGCCAATAAGGCTGTAGCGTCTCCGGGGACTTGAAAACAAATCAGACAGCACCAAAGTAGTAGATTAAAAAGCAGACCAACAGGTAACGAGACGGTCATAAACTCCTTTACGAAATTTCAAGCTGATCTATCGCAGAAGGTTAACTTAACCAGTTGCAATTGTCACCAACTCAACTCGCTGCAAATTTTCGAATCCCCAAGGGCTCTATGTGGAAAAAATACTGATTTCCAGAATAGATTCGGTTCAGATTAACTCTACGGAATAAATCATTGGTAACAGACCGTGTGTATCGTATACATCCCAAATATCATTAAACATAACGTGTTTATACCACACGTATATATATATATATATATTAGGCTGTCTGCATTTTTGAGTGCTTGCTTTTTTCTGGTAAATTTGTAATTTGAAATTTCTCTATTCATCATAAGTACGTATAATAATAATAATAAGACAGAAAATACAAATTGGAAATTTCACACTTTTGAATCTATCTTTGAAAACGGTAGTGTAGGCTGCAGCTCGGGTTATCATTTTTGGATGACCTTGTCTAAATTTATCCTTGATGTTCATCTTCATAAATGTATTATCTAACACCTCGCAAGTTGAATAATAACAATAGGGTAGGCCACTTCATATTGAATAATTAACTGTTACATGGGACCGAGCAAAACAAATTTCGGAATATGTGAAGGAACGAACATGGAGTATGTTCTCGGACCACAATGGACAGTCATCCCGAGGACACAAACATCTGGTATACAGACAGGTCATAAATAAAAAATGTAACGAGAGCTGGAATTTACTGAACTGAGAAAAATGGCGGACATGAATAGTATTGGAAAAATATACCTGTTAATACACACTTCTTCAGAGAACTGAAGAAGTGAATATGGGTATACTACAAATCTTACCGTAAAGAAATTTGCCTATCGCATATACCACAAACAAACTAGTTTCCTTGCAGTGAAAGCTTTAGTGAGTCAGAGAATAGGCTCAAACCTCAAATGCAATTCATTATATAGAGCGCTCAACACTACACATTTTTGGGGTGCCATTATTATAGTACATACTATGTGAAGATAAGATATAGGTTATGTAGTAACTTACACATTGAAATAACAAACTGGGTACATATCGATATCATCTGAGCTGAATAATGAGAATTTCTTGTCAGAAAATTGTGGTGTATGTAGATAAGTACACCACAAATGTGTCTGGTGCCGTTTTTTCTATACTCATTGTGCCACAAATATAGAGAAATATACTCAAACACATTTACACGCGCGCGTGCGCACACATATGTACATACACACACTGGTGTAAAAGAAGGACAACATTTGGCTGACACCATTTATGGCTTCAGCGAGACACCCTGTGCTTACAAAACGACAACCAACATATTCACGAAGGCAGCTGCGTGATATTCACGTCCTGTAATTATTACATATTTCCAAACATTAGAACTGCAATACTCTTCTCAACGCGCGTTTCACCAATCAACTTGAAGACGCCTAATTGGTTAGTGAAACGCTTGTCTAGTGATAGTCTCAGTGTTTGGGAATGGTGCTTGTATTGAAATTATTATACGGCAGAGTCCCTTGACCGTTGAGACCCTTCGAAGTTGAAAACATGAAAAAAGAGTAAGTGAAGTTAAGTTGAAAAAAATTCAACATGCATTGGCTAAAAAAAATCACTGGAATGGTCAATTGGCGTTCTAAATATAAGACCATTAATAGAAAAAGAAGAAGAAAAAAGAAAATTTAACCTCATAAATTTTTAAATAACTAAAGTTGTTATTGAGACTAATGAAACTTATTGTTGGACCCATGAGACTTATTGTAGTATAATATGAGTTGAATAAAAGTAATAATATTTGGTACTCAATGTACATATATATGTAAAACTTTGGACGTAGTGAAGTAGGGTAAAAGTTTAATACAAAGTTTTCTTTTAGGTTGCAAGGTGGATTAAATCTGCTTTTTCTGTTGTGATGTTTTGAATATGTGAACTTTTCACAATGATGAACATCAATCCTGTGGATAAAGATGAAATAGAACTGCTTTTGAATTATCCATTGATGTCGAAATCTCTTCAAGATGGCACAATAACTTACAGTGGATTCATAGAAATTAATGTAAGTTTCAGTATTATTTATACATAGGTAAGCTCTGTTTTATAACATAGTATCACCATGAACTCTTTCGTTATCAGAATGACAAATAAAAAGAAACAATTTAAAGTAAGTCACAAGTTTTAAGTCATGAAAATTCATGAAATATGAAAATATTAACAACAGGAGTGCATGAGAGAAGCAGAAATTGTTGATTCTACTCTTTATTTCTACTTCTGTTTTTTTGGAACATTGAAAAATTTCTGAGCTTCTACTTCCAATCCACCTGTTTGAAAGTATAGGTATTATCCAAATAATCCCTGTCTATTCTGAAATTGTGATTGACAAATAGGCATTTTAGGTTTTCATGACATTCTTCTAAGTGCAAGAGGTAGAAATCGATGCAGAAAGCACTGTAATCGACAAAAAGTCTCAGAATTGTAAATATTTCAAACAACTTATGAAAATAATTAATCTCGTTTCTCAAATTATAGGAAATTCATTCCACAAATGAATGGCAGTTCTGTTTGAATATGAATTCTATTTCTCTTTTTTTGTTTGTTTTATTTTTCAGAACACTGACTATAAAGTTTCAGTACAGCAAGTTTCTGAAAAAACTTTTGTCCTCCATTTACCACATAATCTGAAGCATTTGAAGAGGAAGTTTAGTAATATTATGCAACAGCAATCGACCAACAGCATAGTTTCGTATTTAGACTCTCTTACTGTTTACATCAAATCGAAAATTCCTTCTAGCGAACCATCCACTCACTGTGATATCTACAAGCAAGTACTTCACGAGTATTATGAACTCACCAGATTCTATGTCAACCTCAAAAAATGTCATTTAGCACGTGACTTGAGCAAAATAAACATTTCCACTGAAGATGATCAAAACAGGACACACTCTGTTGAGATAACGGTAAACTACGAGAATAAAGATATTTTCCAAATAACTGATTATGACTTGCCACAAGACAAGGATACCCTCAAAGCTTCTTCAAATTTGAGAGAAGTTTATGAGCAATTTCATCGGTCGGTGGATAATTTGCAATCATTCTTCAATTTGATGGAGGTTGTAGATACTAATAGCTGCATTTTAGACCCAGTCCATCCAAAAAAGAGACATAACTATAGAAGGATTTGGATTGGTGAGTATTTATTTTGTTTAGTGAAATTATAAATTGTGTGTGAGTGTGCGAAATTACAACTTTGAACCCGAAATTACGATTTTGAACCTGGAATTTCAACTTTTAACTCGAAATTATGACTTTAAACTCGTAATTTCGACTTTAAATTGGAAGTTTCCCATTTTTGTCTATAGATCTTTTCGGAACTCACAAAGTACAACTTCATCAATTACTTTCCATATATTCTAAATATTTATTATTTACAACCCAGAAATGGAATACATGAAGAAGTTATATTGGCACCATTTTTGTTGTTAAGTAAGTTAAGTTTGTGAATGAAATTGATAATATTATTTTATTTTCAGGGGAAAATATCTCTATGATACTTACAGTCGATCCTTTAAATGTTTCCAGGATACCTGAAATCAAATTCTTGGGACCTGAGCCATTGGTTGAAGCATACCGTACGACAATAAACGGAAATCTAAAAAAGTGGGACCAGAATAATGATACCTTTTCTGAAATTTTACACTTGATAGGTACTGGTGAAACAATACTATTTATTCATGCTTATATATCTCAATTTTTCAGGTATAACTGAATTTCCACAAAAAAAGGCTACGGTGAATGTTGGCGATGACTTATTGATAATGAGCGGAGATTGCAACATTTGTTATTCCTCTCGATTAAATGACAAACTACCTGAAATTATTTGCAAAAACAAATTCTGTGAGAACTACTATCACACAGAATGTTTATATGAGGTAAAATATTCAACAAATTTCTCATAAAGGATGATAATCATCAATCACGATCAAGAAACTTGTTTCTTGTCTGAGGTTCCTATTTTACTTATAAAGTATTAATATGGCCACCAAGGTTCTTTATAATGATTATTGTTCACTTCCAACATGCAAACTCCACATCTCCATAGCTGGGTACAGTTTTAAGGCAAAAATGCATTACCCTTGAAACTTGTTTTTCGGTAATGAAGCATATTGCTTCATTGGGTTATCTCTGTCAAATGTACACTATTGTGTACAGTATTCAACCTGTTTCTGCTTGAAGGTGAAACACCTTTTGAAAAAGTGTACTTATAATTGCAAAGTTGTTGGATCATTTTTAGTCTAAGCTAGTTGAAAAATGGAAGTATCAAATAATTTCACTCTACTGCACATAATTTTACTAAGTGCAAAACAACTTGCACCTATCAAATTCAAAGTAATAGTCATTACTTATCTTTTCTTTTATTTTTTTCAGTGGTTGATGTCTGTAAATGCGAGAAGATTTTTCACAGAAGTTATTGGAAACTGCCCTAATTGTGAGAAAAATATAACGTGTCCCATTCCAAGCCAGATGACCTGAAGAAAAAAATAATAATTTGTAATTCTTGAAAATAAATTTATATTAAATTGAAATGTGTTGTTTCTATTGCTGAAAGTATGTTCTGTTCCATTAAATTATATTATAAAATCTTGAATATGTTCAGCACATTTGTTTGTAATTTAAAATTAACAGTTGAAAAATAAATTGATAAGAGTACCATATTATGATTATGAATTGAAACATTACTAGTTCTGGTTCAACTGTTCAGTAATGAATTATCCTCCAAAATTATAAACGAGGATCTCATGACAAAATGCGCCTGAATGGAAACATTTCCTCTTGGTCATAACTGAGGATAAGTAATAGTTCACAGAGAAAAAAAAAGATACATCTGACGTCGTAGAGGGTTTTTTCTATGACGTCATTATTTTGGAGAACTGAAAACTCGGTGTTCAGTACATAATCCTCATTAACTTTCTCCACTTGGTCGTAATCGAGGACAAGTGGCAGTTTACAGAGAAGAAAATGATTCATCTGTTTTTTCTATGACGTCATTATTTTATGCAACTAAAAATTTTCTTTTCGTTACATCATCTCATTAACATTTTTCACTTGGTTCTATGATGTCACCATTCTAGAGAACTGAAAATTCATTGTTCATAACATCATCTTCTCATTAACGTCTTCCACTTGGTCGTAATCGGGTACAACTGACAGTTTACAGAGAAAAAATGATTCATCTGATAATCGGGGACAAGTAACAGTTCAGAGAGAAAAAATGATTCATCTGACGTAGAGGGTTTTTTCTATGACGTCATTATTTTAGGGAACTGAAAATTTTCTGTTCGTTACATCATCTACTCATTAACATTTCCCACTTACTCGTAATCGAGGACAAGTGACAGTTTACAGAAAAAAAAAAGATTCATCTGAGGTAAGGGGATTTTTCTATGACCCTGTTATTTTGGAGGGCTGAAAATTCGTTGTTAATGTAATATATCCTATACCTACCAAAAATGAACCGTTCTCGAAATATTCATTTGTTTACTAAAAAAACACTACATATTCAGCTCTTGAGTGATTCCCCCATAAAATTACTAAGTTTGATAGAATACCTAAACAAGCTATTATTTCATAGTTTCCTATGAGTAACGTGAAATTTAGGTTCTTTTTGTTTTTATGAACGAAGGTTTGTAGTACAAACAGAATAGAAAAAAGTGATTTTTTTCCTTTCTTTTTAAATTTTCCACATATTCAGATACAAAATAAGAAAAAAGTTCCTCAATTCAGTTTTTGTTGCTTGCTCGATACATTAAAGGTGCACTTCAATTACTCCTAATATTGATTAAAGTTGTTTCGACACAAAATACCACTTAACAAGATATCAGAAATCACAAATTATAGTAATGTTTCACCACTGAAACAAAGTTGATTTTTGTAGAGCTTCACAATATACTCGCTCTGCTTCAAGTACACAATTGAAAGTATACAGAATGTTCATAGCTGATTAACGGAAAAACAGATTTTTTTAAACAGAATAGAACTATTTTATTCCCAATATTCAAAAAATTGCAAGGAAAGCGGAAAATAATATTAAAAAACACAGATGAAAGATTTTTTATTTCTCGAGTACCTCCTAACCTGCTTAAGCCATCAAAATCTCTTCAATAGTATTGTCATCTCTGAGAGGACTCTGCGCCAAGCTGGGCTCGCTTTCTAAAAACTGTCGCAGTTCTGATTCCAAATCAATGTTACTGACTTCTTGAGAAGTGTTCACGTCAGGAACAGACATTCCGAGGGCTTTTCGAATGCCTGGAAGGGGTGCGATATCTCCAGGGGTTACTCTCTTGGCAATTTCAGTGATACTTTCAGTAATATTTTCTGCAATGTGGTGCTCTTCCTCAGATGGAGGGGGGCAATGATTGAGATTAGTCGGTGGAGTTACAGAGAGGCGTTGATATTGGGTTTGTTGGAGCTTCTCTAGCAGTTGGCACATGCTGTCCAGCCTTTGTTGTAGTTCATTTCGCTCTTCAGATACTCTGATCTCTTCGTCCATCTTGTCAAGGAAGTTAACATCGATGCCAAGATCTAAAAGAAGTTTTTATGAGAAATTGAAAATGTTTCATCTATAGTTCAATGTCTGGAGAACATGCTCAGTTGTTCAAATGAATGTACTGTTAAAAACTGAAAATTGAATCATTTTTCATCGCAAATTACAAGCGGATTTGAAAGTTTTCTTCTTTTTCATAAACTGTGTCCAGTCTTTATCGAAACTTTGTCAATTTTATAAGAGTTTAACGACCAATCTTTTTCAATGATTTGGAATATTATTTATTTATTTACGGGCAAACCCATTTAAAGTATAATAATAATAATAATATTTATTCACCATTTGTGATACATAGCGTATATATGGTAGGTCAATGATTATTTACAAAAAAAAAAAAACAGTACGTCACTTATGAATAAAATTATGGGATCAAAGCTTGAATAAAAATTAATATTTGCATATACAAAGGTATAGGTACATATAGATATATAAAATGCTAATTAAAAAATTAATAAAAAAATGTGGCAATTTTGCTTGCCGTAGTCAAATAAATATACATATGTATATATTTACATATATACATATATTTACAAACATGTACACACATATTTAAAAAAAAAACGATAAAATCGCCAGTCAGAACACTGAAACTAAAGCAAAACAGCAAGTGAAAATTTAGAACGATTATATATCTTATTATTCTTCTGTGAAAGAATCCTCTAAATATTCCTTATGACTGTAGTAACATTTGTCCAGTAATAAGTTTTTAACTTTCTTACTGAACAAAGTTGTAAGAATTCAACCTCTTTATAGAAAGTGGCAGTCTGTTATAAAAATTTATGGCATTATATAATGGAGATTTTTTGAAATGATCACTCTTATGTGAAGGGACCCTCAGAGCAGTAGCATGACGAGTATCAAGACCGTGAATGCTCAAGTTCATTATATACAAGTCAAGGTTCCAGTGCACAAAAATGACACATTTCATTATATAAATTGCGGGTGCAGTCAACAAGCATTCTCTTTTGAAAACGGGTCTACAACTTTCTTGGTACCCCAGGTTGAATATCAATCTTATCAGTCGTTTTTGAGAGATGAAAACTCTAGAAAATTCCTTTGCACATCCCCAAGCCATTATGTTGAAACTAATGTGGGAGTATGCATTCGCAAAGTTAACATTTAGTAAACCAAATCTATCTAAACAATGTTTTAACTGTTTGATCGAATAATAAGCGGAATTGAGTTTACTGCACACTTTTTGTATGTGACTTCTCCAGGTGAGATTCTCATCTAAAATAGTTCCAAGAAAATCAACTTCTTTTGATATTTTAATGGCATTCAAAGTGACTAAATTACAACAGAAATCCCTCCTAACAAATGTTTTCATCAGCACTGACTTAGATTTATTTAAAATCCGTTTGTTACGTTGACACCAACTACTGAATTCGTCAATAACTAAATTAATTTTCATCGATAATTCATCCTCATTTTTTCCAGAAACAGTGATTGTAGTATCGTCAGCGTACATAGTTATGTGACAGTTTCACATTAATTGTTAGTCTTTTTTTACATTGAATGAATGAACGAATATTTTCCAGAGATAATTATATCATCTAGTATTGACTGGACAAGTAGGAATAAATTGAAAAAAACAAACCTTGGAGACTTTTCAACTCCTCAACATTAACTTTAACAGCATCAATTGGCTTCACTTCCAACATTGTCTTCACTGCAACTTCCTCCTCCCGCAAATTCTTGTTCTCTTCTAGTATTTTTTTAGTTTTCGAATGATCACCTCCCGTCAACAAATCCAGTAAAGAATCTACCAAATGTGTTGCATAATCTGAATCTTTCACAAAATCTTGCACACTCTCAGCATATTGGACTGCCGAGTCTGATCCGTAGGTTTGGTATACCAAATCACTCTCTTCTTTACTGAAAGAAAAAACACCACTGATTCTTCAGCAATTCATTATTCAAAATTGAAATTGTTAATACTTATTTAGTTTTTGTGTGTGGTAATGCACATGACATGATGGTCATGTTAGGGTGAGAATAATAATGATAATAATCATTGTGGGATCTTTCAGTTGGTGGGTTACCTGAATAAGAAGGTTAATTTATTGGGAATCATTATTGTACTCGATTGAAACTGTGAAAAGAAACATAAAAAGGTTGCACCTGCCTAGCTGAGTGACTGGGGACAAGTAGAGATAACTTGGAGAGAAGATCAGGGCTGGTACTCATTCTGTTGATAATTTTGTAAAGAAGTATCAAGTCTCTTTGTTTTCCTACGTGCCTCGAGAGAAGGTACGTTCAATATGCGTTCTAATGCAACAGTATACACGCATCTTCAAAGCAATAGGAAATTGAGCTGAACAGTCTCAAGTTTCACTTTATGTGTAATGGGGGAACCGAACTGTGAAACTATAATCGAGATGAGATCTAACCAGGGAAAAATAAACAGATTTAAGTACAGTGATGTTAGTAAAATTGTGGGTGGTTTTTTTTATGAAGCCAATTATCTTCATGGATTTCTGAAATACAGCGGAAATGTGTGATTTATGGCTAAGTGTGGAGTGTAAGATCACACCTAGATCTTTGGTTTCAAAAGCGAAATGTAAGGTTAGATTATTTATACTATTTTTGAAAGTAATTGGGTGTTGTGTTCAATGAAAGCAAAGAATATGGCATTTGGATGCGTTCAAACACATACCATTTTGCGTATACCAATTAGATAGGCAATCTATATCCTTTTGTTGAATGAATGTATTAGCCTCACTTTTATTTATTTCGAAACATTTTAAATCCTTAGCAAATAGCAAAGCTTCAATTTCATGGAAGCAGCAAATTGGATCATTAATGAAAAGGTTAAACAACAGTGGTCCCAAATGTGATCCTTGTGGAACACCTGATGTAACCGCGATAGTATGAAAATAGTAATGATTAACCCTAACAATTTGCGTTCTTTACAAAAGATATCGCTTGAGCCAAAGCAATATTAGCCCATCAACGCTGTATGAACAAAGTTCATGAATCAAGAGCTCATGATTAACTTTGTCTTAGGCTTAATTATGGTTATTATGATAAGCAAACGACCGAGTTTTAGAAATATAATTTTGTGTGATATCAAAAACATTGGAATAAAATATGTACCAGTTCTTACCTGAGATTTGAGAAAGCAGAATCATAACTTGGTGCATATGATCCAAAAGCTCCATAATACAATGGTTTCACAGGCTTAGCAATATTGCGGCGATCTTCACGAAATCCCTGAAGTTGACTGGAACCTTCGGTGAGCTTACCACAGAGTTGACCGAGAAGTACAGGACGTTTTTTAGTTCCAGGAATAACTCCATCTCCACCAACAAGTATGTTGAGATGTGTGGTGCCATCTTTTCTCTGTTTTAGAAAACCCAAAGATGAACCACCTCTCTTCATCACTGCAAATGAAATGAATCCATATCAATGATTATATTGTTGACACTAACTTTATCTTGTTCACCATTGCAAACAGACCTTTGCTATGTTAATAAAATTAAAATGTATTAGGTTGTTTCAGAAGTTTGGCCTGTTTTGATGTCATGTGTTATTGTACTACTTCCTCTCTAGTGAAGGATTCAATTTCTCGTAATTGAGAAAAATGTATATTTACCCCCCAAATAATATTAAAGACATCAGCAATAGAACATTTCGAAAAGGCTGTAAACGAACTATTATAAAATCGACCGTACTATGGCTATTTTCAAACTTTTGTTACGAAGGCGGTCCCAGAATTACCCGGCCTGACCTAGAGATGGCGGTAGTTGTTTGAAAAATATCACGGTATTAGAAAGAACACAATCTGTAAAGCATATGTTACAAGTTTGAAGACGCTGCGTTATTTAGTATTTGTTTGGCAGCTATCAATAGCGAACGTTTTCGGGAATTTGTGAAAATGGAAGAAATTGGTCATCATTATGTGGTACAATACTTTTATTTGGACATGAGAAAGTTGTGTGTAAGATGAGTGCCGCGTTTGCTCATGCTCGAGCAAAAACAGTGTCGTGAAGATGTTTCAATTTAGTGTTTATCAAAGTTTCACAGCAATAAAGCAAAATTCTTGCGTCATTTCGTAACTATGAATGAAATATGGGTCCATCACTTTACACCAGAGACAAAAGAACAATCGAAATAGTGGACTCAAAAGGGGAAGACCGTTTCATCTGCAGGCAAGGTCATGGTATCGGTTTTTTGGGATGCACGAGGGATAATTTTCATTGACTACCTTAAAAAAGGTATAACTATCAACGGCGAGTATTATGCTAAATTACTGCAACGTTTTGAGTGAAGAAATTAGGCTAAAACGTCCACATTTGGCTAAGAAAAAAGTGTCGTTCCATCAAAACAATGCAGCAGCTCACAATTCCATTATCGCAATGACCAAAATCAACGCATTAAAGTTTGAAATGCTACCCCATGAAATATTAGCCAGATTTAGCCTTTGGATTATTTTCTGTTTCCAAACTTGGAAAAATGACTCAGTGGTCAAAGATTTTCCAACCCATAAATGGATGACATCTTACTTGCAAGACCGGGAACAATAAGTGAAAGTTTCGGGTGCAGTATCTGAGAAAAAAAAATTGACCAGCGGAGTTCCACAAGGTTCTGTCTTGGGGCCCATATTATTTTTGCTATATGTGAATGATCTCACGAACTTGAATATTAGTGGTAGGTTCACTTTATTTGCAGATGATGCAACTATAGAGTGGCACACTAAAGATAAGAATATTCTCGGCCAATTGATCTCCTTAGATCTAACTGAAATAAAAAGGTGGTGCGATGCCAATCAAATGGTCTTCAACTCTAAGAAAACTAAAGTGTTATCATTTAAATGGGACATCGACAAAATACAACTAGATAATGATACACTTATGAAATCTGATAATTACAGATTCTTAGGTGTTGTATTNTACAAATACATTATTGCAATGACCAAAATTAACGGAAAGTTTGAATTGCTACCACATGCACCCTATTCGCCAGATTTATCCCCCTCGGATTATTTTTCATTATAAAAATGACATCGAAATTATTGCTGTAAAAATTGTATAGAGTCGCAAGGAGATTATGTTGAGAAATAAATAATTTTATTCAAGAAATTTTATGTTTTCTTTGTTGGGCTGTGTATTTCTGGGACCCCTTCGTACATTCGGACCAAGTATATTTTATTTGTTAGTTATTTTTGTGTTCATGTTTATGTTATGAGAAGAACTTTATTTAGTTAGTAGGACATGTCCTAATATAAAAATAAAAATAGCTATACAATCATGTTTCAATACTTCTTTCAATTTTGACTTACTGAGTTTTGCTTTAGCTTGCCGAGCAGCAATCTGTGATTTAGATAAAATTTCTTCGGGAGTTAGGGTATCTGGAATCGATTCAAATTTAGTGGCTGGCATTTTACGCTTGGACTCATGTACATGGTCAGTTTCTTCTGGATCGTCGTGGTGCTTCACAGCTCTCAATTCAGGTGTTATCTCAAATCCAACATCCTCACTGGTAATATCTGGAACCAGATTCAGCATCCAACCCAATTTTTCTGGAACCATAATCTTGAGACCAGCTTGAAGCATTTTTTTACTGGCTTTATAGTACACAGTTTCGACATGATTATATTTCATAGCATTATTGCAAATCAATTTGAAATCGTTCACAAATTCCTAAAATGGAAGAAAAAAATAATAGAAATGATTCAATATAGAAAAAAAAAACGTGTGCTTCTCGGGTCACCCGACAGATGTGATAACTTAAACTAATCTAAGTTGAACTATTTAATATTGAAACTGTTTTACTTGAGAAAAGCTCAGGTTATTACTTAAATTTTATGTATATTAATATGATAATGTAAGGAAAGGTTATTTATTAATAAAATATTTTATAGATTGTTTTGTAGGGTTAAATAATGATACAAATAATGTACACACACAAAATTAGTATCATAATTTTTAAGCCCTGTTTCATATAATGAAAGAATATTACGTGCTTGCTGGTTACATTTTTATAAAACTGTCAACAGAACACTAACGCGTACTAAACACTGATCGTCTGTCCGACGAGAGAGGAGGAGCCTGCCTTCCGCTGACGTATGCGTGAGAGAAAGGGAAGCCAGACAAACTGGCGCAGTTACGCGTTAGGTAACGAAGCTGTTTACCCTCCCATAAGAGGTTATCACTTCAGTAATACATGTAAATGGTTTCGATCCATTAACACGAAAATTCTAAAAATCAGCGGCTTTCAAACACAAAAAATTGTGACACTGAAAACCTTGGCCGCAAAAAGCCTTAACCATTTTGTCAGTGTCTTGCGTGTTCAGCGATTTTCTGCGGTCAAGAAAAATGGAATAAAGAATTTGTATAAAATTCCAAGTAGAAAATGGAATTAGGTACTCAAAAATACTTAAAATTTAGATAGTGGCATATATAAATTATAAAGAAAACAAATTATGGTAACCTAAAATGATAATGGGTTAAACTATGCAAATATGCAAATGCAAATAATAAAAGAGCAATTAATGGGAAAAAAATCAAAATCAGAAAAAATGTAGATCAAGTTACTTCACTACTTTTCAATTGTAAACAATCTTCTTCGGATGATGACTGGCCAACAATTGAGAGAATTAAAAGTTCAGCTGGGTTCCCATCTCCACCATCTTCTCTCACTTTCCAGTTCAGTGCAACACATAGTGTTTTCCCAGTTAATTAGAGGTTTCCATATGTTGCAAATCTCCACACCAGCTTGAGTTAATTATCAAATTGTATACTTTGACTCCAAAAAGCTGGTGAAACAACTTTTGCTAGAAGTCAGCAAAGGCCATCACAACTAGTGCTATCCCAGTATATCTCAATAGTTTGACAAATGTTGATTTTCTTTTTAGATACCTTATTAAGCACCTACTTAACCTAGATGGAACCTAAAATTTGACATAAAAAAATGTATACTCACATCTAAATTTGAATATTGGTTCTCCTCAATTTTTTGCCTCATAGTGCTAAAATCCATTGGATTTGAGATAATTGTTGAATAACCAGGAGCTATATTTTCTGTGACAGGCCAAGCAAAAAAGTTCTGTGGATCTTTCTTCTCTAATTGTGTCAGCAAATGATCCAAACCCTTAGAAAGTGGAGTTCGTTCTTGTAACTTCTTAATGACACATGTTCTAAGTTCTCGCCCAGGACTGCCTATCTGGGGATAAACTCCCATTTCCTCTAAAAACGAAATATATTTATGGTAACCCATTCAACTTGGGAAATATTTCACTACCTGCTTCTTCATTATCCTCTCTCTTTCGTTTTTTATCTTTGTGATGATGCTTGTGTTTTTTCTCACGATCTTTATTTTTGTCCTTCTTTTTCTTCTTTTTTTTAGATTTCTTATGATGAGTCCTGGTCGTAGCAAAATATTGATCATTTTTCTCAATTTGCATTGTCTCTTCTAAACCTTCAGTTGGTAAGGGTAAACTTTGATCAAAAGTAGAGTCATGTTCAGGTGTAGTTTGAGAACCCACTTTCAGAATAAGTTTCAGGCCGGGTTTTTCATCTCTTTCGCGTTTTTCACTTTTGTGTTTTTTGTGCTTCTTTACCACTGAGGGAGAAGCTACTGGAGATGACATTTTTCAAGTCAACAGTTTAAGAATATTTTTTGCGACCATATAATTCACATATACACATTCACAAAACGTACAGTATAGTTAATTACTTTTTCTTTCTAATGGTCTAATATCTAACATAAACAGAATATTGTTTACATATTATTACTATATCAAACATAACCTAACGTAAATTTACTGACTTGATTGTAAGTATGTTCGTTTGATACATAACTGTGCACACGATTAACTCGCATCGCTCGGCAAGCGTTCCATATTCCATAATGCAGATCTGTTCTGTTCGGTATTTACGGGAGCGAGGAAAAAATATATTGAGTCATCTTCAAAATTAACGTTAAGATCAGGTAATAATAAAAAAGTTGGTTGAATTTTATCTATTCTTTGCGAAATTATTAAATTAGAGTTATATTTTTGGCTCTTGTTCATCATGACCGATCATATGTAAAAAAATATATAGATATTTGTGATAGCAATAACACAAATGTCAATTTGTCATTCGTTAAATATATTTTGTTCCGTTAACTCTATGATTACGTAGTACCAAATCTGCATCTTTTCAAAAACTACACCTCACGATTGAGGTGTAGTTTTTGAAGAAGCTAATGTCTTAGCGAAACATGTTGTGATACATTTTAAATAGAGTTTGTGGAGATCAAATCGTGAGGCGTAGTTTTTGAAATTACTATGGATCTTCATCAAGTAACGGCCGAATCAATCAGAAAAAAATCTGCATCTGCTCGCTTGGCTCCAGATTTTTAAAACCGATCACAGCTACTTTCTCTGGATGGTTCAATACAGGGTTCGTATATGAAGAAGTTCATACAAGCCAAAGATTTTGACCACCATATTTGTGATGTCATTGGAGGAAAATTACGCTAAATTTGAACTTATATATAATATAAACTCAAAATATGACCCTGCAGAAACTGATTTCTAATTTTTGAACTACTTTGTTAGAGTACTGGGTATACACAATATGTCCAAGATACAGAGAGTCAGCGTAGGATATTCTGAAACTGTAAGACAGGCCAGGCAAATGTATGTATGTAAGACAGTATATGTGCTGTGGCCACAGTAGAAAGCTAAAGACCGGCCCTGATGTCCTTCTGTCATCAGGTTAGAGTTTCGTTATAGTGGTTAGAGGTGACCTTCATTAGGTGAATTGTTCAAATCCGTATATTTTTTAACAAACTTCTGCTTATTTTGATATTGTTGTATTATATTTTCTTGAAATTTCGTATAAAGAATATTTTGATAAAGAAACAACTTTGTGCCAATAATTTGGTGAGTAAATACTAAGTTTTCATTAAAAAAAACATCTTTTTGTTTGAATTTCATTGAAGGTTGATTTTTACTTAATTTATATTCTTGTTTACCTCCTAAATGTATTATCATTTTTATGTGCCAAAAGCACTTCATTCATTCATTTACTGAATTGTTTTTCAAACTATATAATATTGATGAAAATTTGAATTATATATCAGTATCATTAACATTACATTTTTGTTTATTAAACATCTTATCTTTTAACCATGACATTATGATAAAAAGTTTATTAATTGATCGACTAAGATCGACTAGATCTCTTGAATATTTTATAAGTACCTATATAATTTTTTTAAATTTTGCTCTGTTGTATCTCTTATAGTGCGATGTCCAGAGAAAGAGCTTCGAGACGGTTCTACCGTGTTGAGTCAATGAATAACCTTCTATCTTGCTTAGATCGTGGTATGACTGCAGAAGAACAAAACCAATGGTCTTTCGAAATTGCATGGGAAGCAGCTAATAAAGGTACGAATTTGTTCAACAGTTGAGCTGTTCAAATTTCATCTTATATTTCTCTTACATTTTTTGTGAGATTAGATTTTTAAATATTTGTTTTACAAAGTATTGAGATAGACTTTTGATTTTCTGATTGAAGATCCATAGTAATTTCAAAAACTACATCGAAAACAATTTCGATCTCCATAAACTTTTTTCCAAAAATATCATGACATGTTTCCCTGTAACAGTAGCTTTTTCGTAGTGAATAACCTAGGAAAAAACTCCTGTGATAGCGAAACATGTCATGATATTTTTGGAAATGAAGTTTGTGAAGATGAAATCATTTCCAGTGTAGTTTGTGAAAATACTTTTGGTTGCTGAAAAAGTAAAATGTACCTTTCATCAAATATCATGAAACATTTTTTCCTAAGAAATTGCCGTAAAGACTTAAATAGAATAGTTGTTGCTTAAAATCTCATTATGCATCTAAACAGTGCCATGTTGGTCTCTGTTTCAGTTGGGGGTATTTATACTGTCATCAGATCTAAGGCATATGTGTCAACCGAAGAGATGGGCGATCATTACTGCCTCATAGGCCCATACAAAGAACATTGTGCTAGAACAGAGGTTGAAGAAGGCCCACTTGCTTCTGAACCCATGAACAATGCAGTTGAAGTACTGAGACAGAACGGTTTCAAAGTCCATACCGGAAGATGGCTTGTGGATGGAAATCCACAAATAATCCTGATGGATATCGGATCGGCAGCATGGAAGTTAGACGAGTATAAGTCTGAACTTTGGAGCAAAACTAACATAGGGGTACCCCATTTGGATGTAGAAACAAACGATGCTATTATTTTAGGGCATATGGTAGCCGATTTCATCGCAGAGGTAAGAAGAAAGAATTAATTTTGTATTTGAATTTATTTATTAAGTAGGCAAGCCTAATATACAAAAAAAGAAAAATTACAAATTCATAAATATTTCACGACATTAACTATGTAAATATAATAACATTTTAAAGTACCTTTCAAGGAAAACCAAATATACATACATATCTATAGATTATTAGGTTAGTTCACATTAAAAAATATAAAAAAATTACAAATATCATAATGAGCTGTCACTAATATACTTCTTTAATGATGACTTAAATTGGTTTATTGAATTAGATTCTTTTACAAATTGTGGTAGTTTATTAAATTCGTTTAAGCCTTTATGAAATATGCTATTCATTCCAAATTTAGTGTTAGTTTTATCAATGTAAAAATTGTTATTTCTTCTCGTATTGTAATCATGAACTTCATTATTTCTCAATAAGAATTTTTGAAAGTAATTGGGTAGCAATCCTTTATGCAGCTTAAATATAAAGATCATAGTCATATATAATATACGTTCTTCAACTGAAAACCAGTTTAGACACTGTAACATCGATTTAATTGCTGAGTAACGGCTACATCCCAATATTAATCGCATGCCCCGATTTTGAAGCTTTTGCAATTGCGCTATTTTATTTTTACCAAGTAGAAAAAGTAATGTAGTACAATAATCAAAATGAGGTTGTATTAGGCTTTTAAAAATAGTCAACCTAGCATACATAGACACTTTTTTACATATACGAGAGAGAAAAAAAAGTTTCTTAGATATTTTTTTACAAATAAAATCAGCATGACTATTTAGTTTTAAATTTTTATCAATTATAAAACCCAAATATTTTATTTCAGTCACAATTTCAATGCTAACATTATTAATTTTTATAACAGCATTTGCCCAAACAATTTGATCATACTTATAAGATGATGTCAAAATCATACTTTTTGTTTTACTGACATTTAGTTTCAGTTTATTAATAAATAAATATGTTTCAATGCTATTTAAAGACCTATTCATTTCAACAATTGCCTGATCCAAATTTTCATGTATACAATAAACCAATGTATCATCTGCAAAAAGATTTATACAGTGTGATCCAGATATGTGATTAATATCATTTAGGTAAATAATAAAAAGCAATGGACCTAACACACTACCCTGGGGTATGCCACTCTCAATTATAAGTTCATCTGACAATTCTTTTCCAAATTTAGTTTTTTGTCTTCTGTTGAATAAGTAACTTTGAATCCAATCGAAAACAATCCCTGATATCCCATAATATTTTAATTTTTCAAGTACTTAGAATATTTCGGTCAACTGTTTCAAATGCCCTTTTAAGGTCGAGAAATGTCGCAACAATGTACTGATTTCTATCAATTGTATTTTTCCATTCAGTTATTAAAAATTGTAGAGAGGTCTCACATGAGTGTCTAGCTCTAAAACCTGATTGGTTGCCTATAAACAATTTATTGGTATTGAAGTACTGAATTAATTGGTTATATACAGACATTTCATAATATAGGAATCTTGATATGCATGTGCTTATCCACTAGTCAAGACAGTTTTTTTTATAAACTTTTCGACTACCTTGTCTTTTTTTACTTTTCTTTGTCAGCTCCCCGCCTACGAGATCACTTTTCATTATTGTCACCTTTTTCAGTTTAGGACTAAAGCTGAAGAATATGGGCAGGGTGTTCCACCCCGAATTGTCACACACTTTCACGAATGGCAAGCTGGGGTAGGTCTCATTGTACTGCGTACTAGACATGTTAATGTTGCTACAGTATTCACCACACACGCCACTCTTTTAGGAAGATATTTGTGTGCTGGCAACACCGATTTCTACAATAATCTCAGTAAGGTTAGTATTAAGTACGGCTTGACCAATGTCATACTTTCAATGCTTTTTATAAATAAAAACAGTAATTATATGAAATGTAATCAAAGTCTCAAATTCAAATCCAACATTTTAATTTGAGGGAACCAAATGCGGGCTAATAGGTTGTGGTCGATTGCAGTGCTTTAAATTTTACTTTTTTATAGTTTAGCGTTGATGAAGAAGCTGGAAAAAGGCAAATTTATCATAGGTATTGTTTGGAAAGGGCAGCCGCACATTTAGGCCATTGCTTCACTACTGTTTCTGAAATTACAGGTAAGTTCAAATTGCTGGTACATTCATTAAAGTATAACTGGAAATTTTTACTATTAGATTTAGGGAAATTTCTAAACAGTTTCATGTTCAGATCTCCTTGCTAGCTTTTCTGCTTTTCATGTTTTGTCTTATCTATCTTTATGATATCTATTTCCATGTATTTCATGGTTTACCCATTTTCTATGTAAAATAAAGGGGATATCTGTCAAAAATAAGCAAAACGTTAACTTTATCCTAGTTGCATAAAATTTGGCATATGGATATAAAATTGCCGTAGACAACTTTTTCAAGTAACTTTTTGTTAAATTCGATCTAGAAATGCACTTTTTCAATTTTTTTCAAAACCAAAATTGAATTTGACTAGCTTGAAACATTTTCATTGAAACTTTTCGAAAAATAAGTTTCCCATATGGTGCGCACTTTAATGGTGACACTGTATATGTTGTCGCCAGATGTTAGTGTTTACCTTTGACTCAATTTTAAAATTATTCACTTCAGCAGATGTTAGGGTCAGTGACAGATTTTAGGGAAGTGACCTGATCACAACCCATGATTCATTTCTTCAATTTGACAAATATCAGTGTCACTATTTTTAGGGTTTGAAGGCCGTCGATTTATGAAATTTCTTCCTGACACTTCGCTGGCGCTAACTTCTTCAGAGGAGTTACCCTCGATGACAAGATATTATAGCTGCATAAAGCAGGTAGTTGGGTGTGCTGATACCTGTACTTGGATTAGATAAATTGCATAAAGCAATATCGCCAGATGCTAGTGCTGTTTACATATGACTCATTTCTATAATTAGATAAATGTTGTCGCTAGGTGTTGGTGTCAACTACCTCAATGACTTCCTCATTTAAACCCTACTTCAGTGAATTAAATGTTTATACTGATGTCTACTACCATGTCTTTCCATACTTATTCGAAATTTCATTTTTTGATCAAAATCTTCTAAAGTCGCTGATTGTGTTTATGTATTACATAATTCTTGAAGAGTGACCTAGTTAGGAACAGAATTTCTTATTATTGGTAATCACATCGATCTAATCAAGTAGTCAGTGTACACCTAAACAAATTCAATGTTATTACAAAATTTATAGGCAATATTCTCATTCGTCTCGTCGTATATTTTGAAAATGTTGGGTTATTGCCACGTATGGAGGGGGGACGACACTTCCCCCCCCCCCTCGAACGGGTTGTTATGTCTTTTCAAAATGTTGACACATTTTTTGATAACAGCTCTAATTGGTTTTAGTTCGCCACCCCTGTATGGTTTGTCCTCTTTAACAAAACTATATCAAAATTTAACAACATAAATTTATACTGTTCGAACTAGACTAAATTTTATTTTACTTGTTCTTTGTGCTTCCATCTATTTGTAGAAATTCCCTCACATTTAAAAAATCTCATTACTGATTTTAATTTTAGGCTATGAAGCGGAGCATTTGCTCAAAAAGAAACCTGATGTGATTACTCCAAATGGTCTAAATGTAAAGAAGTTCTCTGCCTTACATGAATTTCAAAATTTGCATGCTCTTTCCAAAGAAAAAATTCATGAATTTGTGCGTGGACATTTCTATGGGTGAGAAAAATTATTAAAACAGTGGGATATTGAAAGAATAATTTGAAAAAATTACAGCCATTACGACTTCGATTTAGACAAAACACTTTATTTTTTTATTGCTGGACGCTATGAGTTTGGAAACAAGGGTGCAGACATCTTCATTGAAGCGTTATCAAGACTGAACCATTATTTGAAGGTCGTCAATTTTCTTTCACAAAATAAGTTGAAACTTTTCAATTATTTATTCTATTTCAGTCAACTCATCCTGATATAACTGTAGTTGCTTTCATGATATTTCCCGCCAAAACTAATAATTTCAATGTTGAATCTCTTAGAGGGCATGCTGTAACTAAATCGTTAAGGGATACCATTAACGAAATTCAAAATAATATAGGAAAGAGGATGTATGAGGTGTGCTTGAGGTAAGTTGAAATGTTTATGACAGGGAATAAAATAGTGATTAAATGAGTTATTTATAAGTTATTTATTAAATGTACAGCTCATATATATATGTGATTAATATCATTTAGGTAAATAATAAAAAGCAATGGACCTAACACACTACCCTGGGGTATGCCACTCTCAATTATAAGTTCATCTGACAATTCTTTTCCAAATTTAGTTTTTTGTCTTCTGTTGAATAAGTAACTTTGAATCCAATCGAAAACAATCCCTGATATCCCATAATATTTTAATTTTTCAAGTAGAATATTTCGGTCAATTGTTTCAAATGCCCTTTTAAGGTCGAGAAATGTCGCAACAATGTACTGATTTCTATCAATTGTATTTTTCCATTCAGTTATTAAAAATTGTAGAGACGTTTCACATGAGTGTCTAGCTCTAANTCACCATTGGTGATACATAGCGAATATATGGTAGATCAAAATGATTAATTAAATATAATTGAAAAAAAAAACACACGTATTACAGGTTTTAAATTATGCACATATTTGCATATACAAAGATATACATATTCGCCAACTTACATATACAAATATAAAATAATAAATAAAAATGTGGCAATTATGTTTGCTATACATGAATATTACTGGAGTTCTATCCAAACACAAAACCGTTGTTTTCAACACCTCAACACGTGTTTCAATGACCAAGTGATCATCTTCAAGAGTAAGATTAAACTTCACGAGTTTGCTATACATAATTAAATTGTAAAGGTAATAAAAAACAGAAAATGTAATATGGAGATCCGAATTTCAATTAGAGGAAGAAAGCAGAAACTTTTCTAATTCCGATTTGAATTTTATTTTTTGATTTATTTTTAGTTTTTCTGGAATATTGCCTAAATGAAATGTTGATTTCTACCAAAATTTTTATTAGTTGATTAGTAAAAAAAAAACAATTTAGCAGCTATTAATTTTGTGTTCAACAAGTGTGTTCACAAAAATGTATGTCTTCTCTGACCCATGGTATTTTTAGTGGTAGGTTGCCTGAAGGTACTGAACTATTGCAAAAAGAAGAAATGGTTCGTCTAAAAAGGTGCATTTACTCTTTACAAAGGGACGGTTTACCACCTATAACTACTCACAATGTGAATGATGATTGGAATGACCCTGTTCTCAATTCTGTTCGAAGATGTAATCTTTTCAACACAACTAATGATCGGGTTAAGGTAAGCAATAACATTAATGTAAATGCAAAAATTCATTCTGTTTGATATAAAGCTTATGGACTATTTCTGCTACTCGAATTAATTTTTTTCAATAAAAGTTATATTTTTCACAGAACTCAAGTTGAAACCACTTCTCACTCAGCCGCCGAAGCTGTGAATTATCCAACAGAGTTTTTGAACTCATTGGATTTGCCTGACATACCACTGCATAATTTACAAGTGAAGGTTGGATCGCACCGTAATTTGAATCCACCACGGCTGTGCAACTGCACGCGATTAGTCGTTGAAAAATTAATGAAAAAACGTTGTCGAAGCCAGCATTTTGAATGGCAAGTTCCGAGGTGAAAATATATTAATACCACGAATTCCTATTATACCTTATAAACGTGTGCAATTTCCAATTAGCTTGGCATTTGCAATGACTATTAATAAGTCCCCAGGCCAAACAGTCCGTTTGTGGCCAGGGATCTTAGGGTAACAGGTTCAGAGGCAAGATGTTGGTTATGATGAAACTGAATGCAATAAGTGACCTATTGATCTGAGGGGCATCCTTCTTTCTGGGTCACTACGAGGAAATTTATTCCACTTCAAAAAGATACTTGGTGGGAATACATCCTTTTCAACAGCCGCCCATCAATTTTTCTTCTTAAAATGTCGCCCTTTGTCTTTGCGGTTGAATACATTTCCGATGATGAAGTGGTGGAAGTGTCAGCTTTATTACGTTTTGTTGTAATTAGACGGGAGATGCAAAACACCATCAGTGATAGAAGTCATACCTGTACCTGTAGGGTTCAAGCAAGATTAAAGCTGAGTCTACATATACTGGCTGCTGGGTAGACATCTGGCGAGTTAACAATGCCATGTATGATTCTGTTCAGTAAGCCTTCAAGGATAAACTATAACTAAGGCACCTTATGTCGCTTTCATCAAGCAACATGCTTACTTTTCAACAAATAATCGAGAAATAAGTTACAGAATGGGGAATGTTCCTCAATTTGGGTTATTACAGCAAATGCAAGTTTGAACAAAATAAAGTTGAGCTCAATTCATGAGTTTTTCAAATTCACTTCGAAAAGTATTCAAATTGATGTTTCAAATGTTGGGTTTTAATTTTTAAAGGGATTTGTTTCTAATTCACATATTGGAATTAAAATGATAAGTTTAAAATGCGTTGTTTTAGAGCTCTTTCATGAAAATTACTTGATTTTCGTCAGGAGGAACATTCCCCATTGAATTTTCAGCACTTTTCGTAATGTGAATAGAAGAAAATATTCACTCCGTACCACACTTTTCAGATTGTCTTCCATCCAGAGTTTCTGAGTTCAACAAATCCTTTATTTGGCCTAGACTATGAAGAATTTGTTCGAGGTTGCCATTTGGGTGTTTTTCCCAGCTATTATGAACCCTGGGGCTACACCCCAGCCGAGTGTACTGTAATGGGCATTCCAAGCATCACAACGAATTTATCAGGTACAGCCAATTACAGAATGTTATCGTATGAGTTTGTCAAAAAATGTATTGCAGAAGGTGTGCTGAAAATTTTTTTTTCAGGATTTGGTTGTTTTATGCAAGAACACATCACAGATCCTATGTCTTATGGCATCTATATAGTTGACCGAAGGTATATTTCAGTAGAAAATTCTGTTCAACAGCTAGCACAATACATGTACGATTTTGCAAGACTTAGTAGACGGCAGAGAATTATTCAGAGAAATAGAACTGAAAGACTCAGCGATATGTTGGATTGGAGAAATTTAGGAGTGGTTAGTAGTTTCGTTATCTTTTTCAAGTCCGTCGGTTAGTGTTGTTTCATAGGCCAATAATTTATTCTCTACTTATTTTCAAACACTTCGATAATATCTACCTTACTTACGCAAAATTATAAAGGGTTTTCAATAATGCCTTAGGAAAGTAATTCAGTTTGATGTGATTTACTGAATTAGTTTTAATCATAAGACTACTTTTAGTATTATCGTCAAGCGAGGATGAAGGCCCTACAGAGCGTATTCCCAGATTACAAGGAAGAAGAAGAATATGGAATTAGTACTTTGAGGTACCCCAGACCACTCTCAGAACCTCCATCTCCTAGTTCAAGTAAGGTTACAACTCCGGCAGCTTCATTGCATGGTTCCGATGATGAAAGTGATTCTGTTGATGAAGAAGGAGAGGTACGCAACTTTTAATTACTTCAAGAAGGTGATATTATTGTCAATTCAGCCTCGTCCCTGAGAGATGTGCTCTCAGCAAACATGTTTTTGAAGGTCGTGAAATGGGCTATAATTTAACTAAAATTTTGATAATTGAAAAAAATAGTCTTGAAGATTGTTCCTGGGAATGCCATTTATTTTATAATCAGAGAATTGCCTCAATAGAAGGTCAGATATAAACCATCCCAGCGAAATACATGCTTTTTGCTTGATATTGATAAAAATATACATACATTTCAAAGATTCTGAATTATTACCAGAATAAATTCAACAATGCTTGTTCTCATCACAGATTAGTTAATGAATTGAAATAATATTGTCTTACAGAAGTAAATTACTTTCCAAATTTTATTGATATTAACGTTACTTTATCAGTTTTAGGGAATATATTTTTTCTGTATAAAAATTAGTTTTTGCTTTTCATAACAAGTATTGTAAAGTTCCTAACAGAATTTCTAAACTTTTTATTGTTTTAGATATATTTGTCATTGTAGTTTTTTTATTGGTGTGCACACTTAACAGCAGTTGTCTCTAATCAACTTGCACCAAATGTGTTCAAGTTTGTTTCATGGTTCATCAAGGACTAACTTATTTTCTTCTTCTTCTTTTCGATTCTATGGCCTCAGCAACTAAGACTATTCGACCAGTTGGTAACGACTATCTTATTTTAAACTGAATTCTATGACATGTTATTGTTGTTTCTTGTCTCTCTTTTCTTCGTAACTATACTAAAACCAATAATGATTGAGAGTAGAAGTAAGCCCAGTTGACAGCAAATCGGGGGCGTGCTTATTAATTTTTGAGAGGGTTAAGAATGAAAGAAAAATTCTTAGTACAATTAGTTAAAATATTCATACACATTTTTTATTTATT